TGCAACAGAACAAGGAGCAGGCGGGGAGACGGCGGAGGATCTCGACAAAGACATCATCCATGAGGCTGGCCAGTGCGTTCCTCTTATTGAGGGCCTCCTCCATTTCGTCATGTGCATAAAGTAGGATGAGTGCTTGCTCAGTAATGAGATCACTAAGGAGGAAAATAATCCAATAAAGATCCATCAGTGAAGTCCACAACTCATAGCAAAGTGCAACTTTAACAACCATTAACAATTTTCATAGTACGACCTCATCTAAATTTAGAGTAGCACCACATAGATATATATAACTCAAACTTGAGTAGCAGTTAATGGAGCTGTAACCATTATAATTCTAGCTAAATCAAGTCTAACCATCACACTTACAATCAATACACGAGCTCAGAGCTTCTTCCATATAAACAGACAAAGATCTTGTTCTTTAGCGAGTCGATCTGGGATTAGCAATGCGAGGAAGAAGTTCATTCTAGGCTATTAATTTAGGTCCAATTAAATCATGTCTCCATGATAAACACAATGGCAAAGAGGGTCGCTGGTGCATTTGATTATAAATAATAATTAGAGTTAAATGCATGAGAGGCCTTTCAACTTGTCATGGGGTGTCACTTATGCCCTTTAACTTTGAAAATGTATTTCTGGGTACATAAACTTGTTAAATGATACACAATAGGTCCATACTTGCCACATGGTGGAAAAATATGCACTAAACCCCTTGAGAAATATGCCCCTAGATAGATCAGCCCCTAAACCGAACTTCCTCCTCTTGCCTACGCTGCTCTCCAGCTTCCCTTGCGTTCAGCCGCGCGCGTTTCCCCTTGTGCCAGAACATGAGCCTGAACTGGTACTTCGCCAAGAACAAGCACATGCTGGTAACCAACTGCATTGATCTTCCGCGTGGGCAGCGTGGCGGGGCTGGTGACCGACGCCCCATCCCAGCGCGCGGATGCCAAGTGTGAGCTGAGGCTCACGCTGCGGACACACCACGGTGTGGACGACGTGGCCGTCAACGTGGCGCTGCAGATGGAGGACGAGCAGTGCAACCGGGGCGTGAAACTCACCAAGGACCTAGTTCGCGTCGCCGAAGCGATGCTCCAGAGGCACATCATGACGTTGGGTCCCAAGGTGCCGCCAGTGTTCGAGATGCTCCACGAGCCAGCGGCTACTGAGAAGGGGCTCGAACCTGTGCCAGGATATATATATCGGTCGAAGCTGAATCAAATGAACGCTAGTACACGCGCGATAGCCGGCGGCCTGACCTTGAGGATCTGCGGTGTTATGGCGTTTAGGCCACAGGATCAGAATCCTGCCATCTTGGCCGCAGGTGTCGGTGTCACGCCAGCCTAGCGTCTGTTGTTGCATGGATATGTCCAAACGTTTAGCCAAATAGAGCGCAAGTGCAAATCATGTATATAGTACTATCAGTACTACTGAATGCGAACACAAGGTTGATATGTGCCCTTGTGGTTCGGATTGGTGGGGAGTGATTGTCAATGTGACTTGCGTCTTGAGTTGAGTCGGTGAGCTAACCATGGCGTGAGTTGGGTTGTGCAACATGTCTCTTGTCTTGTGGTGCGCAGGTTTGGAGCTCGAAGGCGGTGGTCGATGGCGAGGTGATGGTCAAGTAGGGACGTGCCGTGCCGATGGACCGGGAGCGGTGAAGGACGGACGTGAGGCTTGGACCGAGGGACCAGGAGGCCGGGTGGCTAGCCGCGGTGGCTGACATCTGGGGGCATCAACAAGCGTAAGTGTACATGGGAGTGACCGTGTTGACCGAGTCAAGGCGGCGGACATGCGAGTCGAGCGGGGCTCAGGAGGACTTGGCGTCCGACCGGTCGAGGACGGAGGTGACACGTCTCGAGTGCGCGGGGGACACGTATGGGGTACTCTACTCGCGGGCGGTTTGGTGGTTTGGGCCTCAAAACCATCGGTGGCCGGTGTCACGGGTCTGGGCCTCAAAACCCGGGCGGAGGTTCCGAGGAGGAATGGACGACATGTGGCGGCATCGAGGAGTTCACGTCGAGGTGAAGCTATCTCATGAAGGGCGCGGTAGCCGTCTTATGAAGATTATCTCGAGTTGGACCATAATGCCCTCGTGTTAAGTGGTTCGACTCAAAAAATATCTAAGAGCAAAACTAGAATTGTGTAATAGCCGTGTTAAATAGGACGAGGGAGCTCCCATCTCTCTTACCTCTTTCATTTGCTTCATCCTTCTGTAGTTTTTTCCTTCTCCTTAGGTTTTCTTGAGAGAGGTCCACAAATTTCAAATTTGTGTAACAAACCTGTGATTTTGGAGTGAGAATGGAGGCCCGAATCCTTCGGTTGTCCTCCGGGATTCATATATTTTGTCTGTGATTCTTGTCACTGTGTTTTTTAGTTTTTCCCCATTTTCGTGCTTGGCTTCGATCTCGATTTCCGGAAGTTTGGGTTAATCCCAAGCAATGATTTCTTAGGGATAGGTTCGTAGCATGTTGAATCTGGTCTGTGCAAATTTTGGGCGCGGTTCGTGTTGATTTTGTTCGGTTTTCGTCGATTGTTGTGATCGCCTATTTTTCTGTTCTGCAGTTCGTTTCCTGTTCGTCAGTTCTGTTCGTCCTAGCGGTGTCGCTGCTCTTTGTGTGGTGTCAATCGAGAGGGGCCAGCAGCAGCGCTACAAACACCGGTGTCCAGACGCCGTGCTCGCTCACCAGAGCGGCGCTCGCCTTCTCGCCCCAGGGACCAGACGCTCGTCCCTTGTACTACTGCCCGTCGGTCTCCCTCTTTCTCTGTTCGTGCGTTTATTGCGTCGAGGCCGAGCACAGGAGCTGTCCCAGTCGAGTCCAGCAGCAGCTCTACCAACGCCGGTGTTCAGGCACCGTGCGCACTCGTTCGAGCAGTGCTTGCCGTGGGTCGCTGTGGTCACAGCTGCTCACCCAGGTGACCATCCTGCTCTGCTGACCGGAGCTAGCCCAGATCGTGATGGACATCTCCTTCTCCTGCTGCTGTGCGTGTGCAATTCGTGCTTGATTTTGATTGGTCAAGTTTGCTTCTTGCATCCCGTGGTGGTGTCCAGCTCTCACCCGTGCTGATTGCTTTGACTTCTTTGAGCACCGCTGTAATCGGTTCAGGACTGCTTGTTGTTTCAGTCAGGATTCAGTGAGTTTTCAGGAGCCAATACCCAGCCGTGTAGCACTGCTGTGCTCCTGTGTTTTGCTGAATTTTCCGGTTGTGCTTCTTAGGTATTTCAGGCTCGGGTTTACAGGTCGCTTCTTTGTCTGCCGTTTGCCCGGTTGAGCTCCGATTTGCGTTTCGGTTTTTGCAATGGCTTCCTACCGACCCAAGGAATTTATCTAGGTGCTCTTGTCACTAGTTGGCTTAGGTATTTTAGATTCGGGATCGTTTGTCGTGGTTTGTTCTCGGTGGTGAACTTGGGACAGCGGCCAAGAGTTTCGCGAAAAATTTTACGGCTCCCATTCACCCCCCTCTAGTCGCTGTTTTCGGTCCTTCACTGAACTACTAGTATTTATATACGTAGAAAGAACGCTTAAGCCTTAAGTTAATTATGTTCGTATCTGCATGCTTCACCACAAGCCCCTTGGCCAGTACGTTGCCGTTCCGTTCTACCACGTCACAGACGCCGATCTTGCCCTTCACCTCGGCGGGCTTCATCGAGCCGCGCTTGAACAACGCCCCGCTCATGATTAGTTGGTTAGTCTCTTCATTTCATTACTACTAATCCATTGTCCATCCTAATCAGTAATTGGAGCCGCTTGCAGTAGACAGCACGTGCGTGCCGTGCCCGTCGTAGTCCCGCGGCAACGACAGGTCCGCCTGGCTCGCGTGCCGGCCGGCACCCGATGCCCGACGCCCGGCACGGTGAGGCACATGGTGTTGGTGTTGAGCAGCGCGATCGACCTGCTGACCCTGACGCAGAGGACGATGAGGTTGTCGTGGCAGGTCTCTCACAGCTCCACGGAGAAGGCGTCCTTCAAATTGTTAGGAGCGTGGAGGTGGAGGGCCCCTGTCACAGCTGCAGCCGCAGGCGTCGCAGAGGGTGTTGCAGAGGCCGTGCCGCGGGGGCTTCAAGTACGAGGAGCACGCTGGGCAGCACACCACGTCGGAGTGGCACGGCACGCTCTCCGCGTTGCGATGCGCGCGCGGAGGCAGCGCTCACGTGTTGGTGAGGACGTAGCAGAGGGAGGCGGTGCTGCAGGCGACGGCGACACACCTGTACGCCGGCAGGGGACCCGCCTGAGCGCAGAGGAAATTGGAGAGCAGCGGGCGGGAGGAGGAGGTCCAGCAGCACGACCAACAGGCGGCGCGCACACAAGCAGCAGCGACGCCATCATCGCCATGAGCAGCAGCTACCCACGCGGAGGATGCAGTTGGTCATGTGCTGGTTCTTGGCGAAGTACCAGTTCAGGCTCGTGTTCTTGCAGAAGGGCAGCGCGCGCCTGAGCGCGGAGGAAGTGGGAGAGGAGTGCGCGCAGGAGGAGGAGGTTCGGTTCAGGGGCTGATCTGTTCAGGGGGCATATTTTTCAGGGGTTTCATCAGTGCCTAATTTTGTGCCACGTGGACCTGCAGTGTATCAATCAACAAATTTATGTATCCAGAAATGCATTGACAGTTTGATGGGCTAGTATAATTAACAGTTGGCGCTACGCAGAGTCCATCTTAAGGCTGATGACGGACATCTATGCAGCTCCCAATGCAGTGAACCAAGCAAACAAAGAAAATGAATTGAAAACAAGATATCAGCAGCATATATAGTAGCACAACAGTAATACGATTCGTATCGATGGATAGTTCATCAAACATGGTTTTATGGTACGACAGCATGCAGCTGAATGGAATTCAAGATATAATAAATACAAGTTGGGTAGCCTCCGCTTCCCTTTCCACTTCACTCCATACTGTACAGGGAGACGAAGAAGCCGCAGCAAGTGCGTTTATTCCAAATACATCTTTTGAACAAACTTGGTCATTTTAATCTTGTGCTTGATATGATGATATCAATTGCTAGTTTAAACTTTGAGGAAGTCCACCTCAAACAGGCCTTCATCCCCGACGCGAGCTGAACCGACGAGCCCACCATCATCGGGGCTCCTGATGTAGCACTCGGCATGGCCGAACCCAATGCTGTAGTCGAGCTCCGCAAGCTGACTGACCGAGACAAGGTTCGCCGTGAGCCCAGGGACATACCACACGTCGGGGAGGACCACGGCGTCGGTGACCACGTTGCCGCAGCCGAGGACCTGCATGGGCGTACCGTCGTCGGCCGTGCACGATGAAGTTGTCTTGAAAGGGCACCAGGTCAGTGATCAAGGCTCGGTTCCCAGTAGCGTGGTGGGGAGCAGCAGTTGCGACGACCCAAGTAGCTGATGCCTACGCCTCCTCTGTTTTGACGATGACACACTCAGTGGCGTCGGAATCAGGATCACTGGCCACAGTAGCAGTAAATGTCACGCTGTGGGTATTTATTGTAAAGAAATTATCACTCGGCAAAGAAAAGTCGCCGTGACGGCGAGCGCCACCGTGACGGTGGCTTTGCCAAGTGTCAAGGTCAAGCACTCGGCAAAGGTCACCGCTTTGCCGAGCGCCGTTGACTCAGACACTCGGCAAAGGTGGCCACTGTGCCGAGTGCGACCAGCAAGACACTCGGCAAAGGTAGCCTATTTGCCGAGTGTCATGTCAAGACACTCGACAAACAGGCGATCTTTGCCGAGTGCCTGGCCCATGGCACTCGGCAAATCTATGATGTTTGCCGAGTGCAATGGCCTTTGCACTCGGCAAAGCATGTTCCCTGGTAGTCACTTTGCCAAGTGTCATGGCCATTGCACTCGGCAAAGTGACTGAAAATAGCCTTTTCTATTTGTTTTTTACATCCCATCCAAACAAACAGAAGATATATATATAACAAACATTACCAACATCACATATATATCATCAACAGCACATATATATCACCAACACCACATATATATCACAAACGTCACATATATATCACAAACGTCACATGTCTCATAATATATCACAAATAAGTTCACAAGTAATCTAAGTGCTCCATCATCTACAACCACAATTGCAAATAGAAGTACCATTAACAACCACAAATATCATCACCAAGATGGCCAATGAGACTGATTTGGTTAAAAATTCGCTGAAGCATGAGGATCGTTCGATGCCGCCGATTGATTCTGCACAAAGGAGAAGAGATTGCATGTGTGAGACAAGATAAATATATACCATACATGAATAAAACTTTCATACTCCACTAGGTTTGACCGTAAGCATGAACATACAAACTAAAACATTTATACTCACAGGAGTAGAATGGTGAGGAGGTGGAGGTGGAGGTGGAGCGAATAGCGAAGGTGGCGGAACTACACCCAGAAAGTGAGTGCCAAGACTTTGCATGTCTTGAAGAATCTCCGCCATCCTCCGCTGCTCGGCCTCCCGCCTCGGCCTCCACCCTCTCCATCTTCGCCGCATCCGCTCTCCCCGTATCCTCTCTTGTTCCAGCTGGGCCTACAATATATTCACCCTAATGTTACAATAATGCAAAGGAAAGGTATGAAAAAACCAATGAACGATGAATAAACTAGGAATAACCTCGAGTGCCTCCACCCGGTGGTGTGAAGTGTCTTGCCTAGGTCATATGGCCGGGCTCGTGCTCGTGCTGCTTGCTCGAATCTGGGAGAGACTGGGAGTAGCGGCCGAGTCGATTGCGCCGTCGCCAATCCAGTACCACCCATGCTTCTTGCCTCCTCCCACCCTCATGACGACTTCTCCATCAAGGTCCTCGGTGCTCGGATCGTACTCTGGCCCATGGACCTCCCTTGCCATCGATGTGTACACACTGAGGCGGTTGTGGACGGTCGCATTGCTATACGGCTTGGGCCCGTCCTCCGGGTTGTAGTCGACGTCGGACGTCGCCTTGCCCTTGTGGGCCACCATGTGACGCCAACCGCTTTGCCGAGCGCCGTTGACTCAGACACTCGGCAAAGGTGGCCACTGTGCCGAGTGCGACCAGCAAGACACTCGGCAAAGGTAGCCTATTTGCCGAGTGTCATGTCAAGACACTCGACAAACAAAGCGATCTTTTGCCGAAAGTGCCCGCCCATGGCACTCGGCAAATCTATGATGTTTGCCGAGTGCAATGGCCTTTGCACTCGGCAAAGCATGTTCCCTGGTAGTCACTTTGCCAAGTGTCATGGCCATTGCACTCGGCAAAGTGACTGAAAATAGCCTTTTCTATTTGTTTTTTACATCCCATCCAAACAAACAGAAGATATATATATAACAAACATTACCAACATCACATATATATCATCAACAGCACATATATATCACCAACACCACATATATATCACAAACGTCACATATATATCACAAACGTCACATGTCTCATAATATATCACAAATAAGTTCACAAGTAATCTAAGTGCTCCATCATCTACAACCACAATTGCAAATAGAAGTACCATTAACAACCACAAATATCATCACCAAGATGGCCAATGAGACTGATTTGGTTAAAAATTCGCTGAAGCATGAGGATCGTTCGATGCCGCCGATTGATTCTGCACAAAGGAGAAGAGATTGCATGTGTGAGACAAGATAAATATATACCATACATGAATAAAACTTTCATACTCCACTAGGTTTGACCGTAAGCATGAACATACAAACTAAAACATTTATACTCACAGGAGTAGAATGGTGAGGAGGTGGAGGTGGAGGTGGAGCGAATAGCGAAGGTGGCGGAACTACACCCGTAGCAGTGCCAAGACTTTGCATGTACTGAAGAATCTCCGCCATCCTCCGCTGCTCGGCCTCCCGCTCGGCCTCCACCCTCTCCATCTTCGCCTGCATCTGCTCCCGTATCCTCCTCTCTTGTTCCAGCTGGGCCTACAATATATTCACCCTAATGTTACAATAATGCAAAGGAAAGGTATGAAAAAACCAATGAACGATGAATAAACTAGGAATAACCTCGAGTGCCTCCACCCGGTGGTGTGAAGTGTCTTGCCTAGGTCATATGGCCGGGCTCGTGCTCGTGCTGCTTGCTCGAATCTGGGAGAGACTGGGAGTAGCGGCCGAGTCGATTGCGCCGTCGCCAATCCAGTACCACCCATGCTTCTTGCCTCCTCCCACCCTCATGACGACTTCTCCATCAAGGTCCTCGGTGCTCGGATCGTACTCTGGCCCATGGACCTCCCTTGCCATCGATGTGTACACACTGAGGCGGTTGTGGACGGTCGCATTGCTATACGGCTTGGGCCCGTCCTCCGGGTTGTAGTCGACGTCGGACGTCGCCTTGCCCTTGTGGGCCATAGCAAATGCCTTGAAGATGGACCAAGGCTGGCCACCATGTGACGCCAACTGCGAGAAAAACAGCAAGATGATAAGAAATCATGCAGAATTGAGCGTTAGAATAAATAAATGAATTCGCGTACCCATGTTTCTGCGTATCCACTGAGGCTGCATCTGCCTTGATGGTGTGCTACACCTGGCATCATCAAACACCGCTCCCAGCACAAGTTGTGCGTCTCCTCCCACTCACATGAACACCACTTGTCCACCATCTGTACTCAGCACTAGGGATGCGCGACGCACCAATAAGGAATCATCTACAGACCATCAAGTACATGACATATCAGAAGATGAAATTAAGCCTACTTAATCTCAAAAGGAATCATTATTAATGTTCTGGATTTACCTGCAGGTACTGGTCCCGGGTCAGCGTCATGGTTCTTGCGTCCCTTTTGGTGACCTTCGTTCCAAGGACGGTCCTGTGGTAAGTTACGACGGCCTGGATGCGCGCCTCGTAATGCATGTCCATGACGAGTTTTTTGCAGCATTTGGTAGCCACCGCATCCGCCCTGGCCTCATGTCTGTCCTGGCATCTAAAGAAATCCTGCATACAAACACGTTGTATCCATTCATTATTTCAAGAATGTCCAATGAATGCGATGTATTGAGCAATGTAGTGCGAGGAAGACTTACCCACAGCTCTTGCTTCACCCGCTCCGCCTTGTTGTTGAGTACCTAGGGTGGCGGTGGACTCAGGCTAGCGGGGCCGTGGCGGGTTGGTGCAGTGGCGAGGCAACGCGGTGCAGGCAAACCCATAGCGGCGAGGAAGGCAATCGGGGTCGCCGAGGTAATCCAGCTCCGCTCCGACGGGCTCTTCTCTACAAAAAAGGAAACATAAAACTGTCAATACAAAATTTCGGCAGCACTTCCCCTGCACGGTGAGGTTTTCAAAACCTGCAAGAAAACCAACGGCACGATGGCCAACATGCACATATATATGAACTGCACGATGGCCGACATGCACAAGATTACATCCAACCACATATATATAACAATGTCACAACCACTCCTACGACTCCTACGACTACCACCACTGCTACTCTACCACTACTACTACCGCAACCACTAGTAATACTACGACAACGACGACAGTAGGGCATAACTAGTGGGCGTCGTAGGGCGGCGGTGGTGAAGGGGCCAGGGCACCGGTGGACAATGCGATGACTGGGGAAGCGTCGGGGACGTGGCAACGACGGCCGGGGCACCTCCTCCTCCTCCTCCCTCTTCTTCCTCCCTCGTTCCTCCTTCTTCCTCCTCCTTCTCTTCCTCCTTCTTCCTCCTTCTTCCTTCTCTCCTCCTCCTCCGGCGGCGCGGCGGCTGCGGCGCTGGCGCGGGCAGCTGCCTGTGTGCGTGTGTGCGTGTGTGCGGTGTGTGTGGGCCAGCGGGGTTAAATCCCCCTTTGCCGAGTGCCCCCGATCTGGCACTCGACAAAGTATTTTTTTAATTTTTTTAAATTCTCCGCCGAGTGCCACCTGGCCTAGCACTCGGCAAAGAGTTTTTTTTAAAAAAAATTCTTTGCCGAGTGCCCCCGATCTAGCTCTCGGTAAAGTATTTTTTAATTTTTTAAAATTCTTTGCGGAGTGCCACCCGGCCTGGCACTCGGCAAAGAGGTTTTTTTTTTATTTTTTTTAAAATTCTTTGCCGAGTGCCAGCCATCCTGGCACTCAGCAAAGAGGCTCCTTTGTCGAGCGCCAAACCCAGACACTCGGCAAACCATTTTTATTTTTTTCTTCCTGCCTCCAAACTTTTTCTGTAGTCCTCATACAATATCTGGTACTCCATGTTCCAATGTGGCACATTTCTCGGACTTTTTCTATATTTCTTTAATTTATTTCATTTAATTGAATTTTCTTGGATAATTCAAATTATAACTGCTATTCATTCG